AGTATTAAAAGGGGCCATTTCGGAGTATCAGATAAATATTGATGATGAGGTTTCACTTTTGGTTGTCTGATCACTACTAAAATAAACAGTTGGATTATAAAACCATAGTCGAATGTCACATCATAATTAAATAAACAAAATGCCAATAACTCATAATGGCCTTGAAGTACAGATATTGTGTTAAGTTAATAACTTCATTTCACATGTTCTATACATGGTCTGAGTCACAGAATGATGCTAATAGTTAACTTTACCACGTTCTTGGTTTGTCGATGATGCAGCAGGTCGCCCCTCAATAAAACGCCTAGCAGTAAATGATATATCCTTTGATATCTGTAATATTTACAAAACATCGCTTCAGATCGGGGTCACTCAGTCCGCAGATTCCGGGTTCAATCACCGGTAGCGATCGCTCGCTCTTCTTCTTTCTGAGGTTGATAAAGGAGTACGACTCTATGGGAAGGAAACATGAGACTATACGCTATGCTTGTCACCTGGCTGTAGACTCTGCCTTTGAAACTTCTGACTGATGACAACGAAAGCAGCAAGATCAACTTAAAGGAAAAAAGAGCACTGAAATGGCCTAATTACAAATGTGAAGGGAGACCGACACTCCAGTGGTAAGAAACTTTTCTGTCATTTCCTTTTTCGTATGTACATCACATCTATCAAAGACCCAATAGTCGAACAGTAGTAAACTGCAATGCCTGAAACAACTGTACAAGCTATCAGCTGTGCGGCTAGCCAATTATGACTAATATATGGCATCAGCGATCTGCTTACTTTTCGCTGCAGTCACGGACGTCCAAAATGTTGCTGAACAACCGCTTGCGTTCCTGCCTGGCGATCACGCTACCCAGGTTGACGTTGCCGGACAGTTTCGGCGACGCCATGAAATGTGTGATCAGAACGTTCAACGACCTCAGGTACGACGCCTCGCTGCTGATCACCTCAAACATCGCCTCCTGCAACTTTCGCAACTCCGGGTCCATTTGATCCAGCACGCCGAGTTGCTTCACCTCAAATCGAAAGCATTTTACAACCGACCGGTTTCGGCAACGAGTGGACATGCATGCAAGGAAATCGGCGACACACAACGATCGCGTTTACCTTGGCAAGTTCGCACCACAGGGTTCGTTGGTTTCCGCTTAAGCCACAGAATAGCGAAGGGTCACGAATGAACGTCACGGTTCGGTCCCCGGAGGTGAATGTAAGATTTCGCTGCACCGCCGTACCGTTATGCCTATACAGCAAAAATAAGCAACTACAGGGACACACGATCGCATTTAATTGACACCGTAGCAACAAAGCCGAATTACGCATTTATGTACATTCGACATCTGTATTACAAAATAATATCAATCAAACAGAAAAAACTTACTTCCTAAACTAAAAGAAATAGTACGCAAAATGCACCGATTTCAGGCGATCAGGGTCTCATTATAATGATAATAAGAACAAATAAAATACAGAATAAGGAAACAAAGAATAAAAAATGATGACAGAAAAATAGATTCATGGTTAGAAATTTATGATGCAGATAAACATCTAAATAAACCTCATGGTGAAACGCGTATTTGAGTCAAAAAATGAAAGACGACGAAAAATATTATAAGGCGTATAATCAGCAGCATAACTAGGACACCTATAGAATCATGTCAACGAAGTTTCTGAACCATTTTCAACAAAAACCACAAGGAGCATTATAAGACTGATCGCTTAGCTTGCAACGATGATGTGAAGAATTGCACACGATTACAGAACTATCTGTCTTATTAAACGAGCTACTTTTCAGGAATGACTCCGGAAGTGCAGAAGAAACACAACCTCATACGCCATCTTGCTGTGTTTGTATCGAAGCAGCCTTGTAACGTGAGGTAGCAGCAATAAACTTCAGTACTATGTCGATATACAAGTCGATTAATATCATTAAAAAATTAGGCATGATAGAACGACAATACTTCAGTACTCGTTGACAGGAATTTTCATCCTCTACAAGTACTTCATGACCTTTGGCCTCTACTGAAGCAGCTTTGAAACATGAGGCATAACTGAGCAAAGATACATGAAAACGTATGTGAGGACATCAGGCACCATTGATTATTGAGGTATCACATGTAAAAATTCTTCCATACTGAGTGATACTTTGCGCGATCATTTATAATCTGTATCAGCACCGAATTAGCGTTGTTACGTAGGATATCAATGACTAAAAGTATTTCACTTTATATACAAGATCGACAACATCCCCTGAAAATTGAGGCATGACATAGAAAGAATACTTTAGTACTAAGTGAAATTTCGCATTTCAAAAGAAGGAGGAAAGAGTACTTCAATGCTCACTAATACCTTATTTTGCATGAGTGCTTCTTCACACTCTATATGCACTGAATAATTCATGATGACACTGACAGACCAACTGGCAGAGTACCTTACTCCTCTGCACAGGTAAGAGTACTGTACTCTTCTTCTAAGCTACATTAGTCATATCCATGCACCTTTTTAACATCTGTCAAAGCAGAATATACTATTAAATATCGCAGTACTTTTGTTCTGTGACACTTTAACCGCACAGGAAACTTGGCGATGTTGTTCTTAGTTTAGGACATCTTCAGTACAAATATACTAAAGCGAAGGTCACACAGTAGAAAATATTGAAAAATTACTGAGCTGGGTATACTAATCCATGCTTCTCCTCAATTTGAAGGCATTTAGTGACCCTCTATATGGATTGAATTATTCTTACTGAACGATAAGTCATGTTCTATGGCTGCTTCAATATAAGCGTAGCTACAAATGTATGACAGTAAAGTGCTCTTGCTAACCGGTGTCAATCATGAAGAATCCCTATGTGAAGTCCGCAAGAATTCAGGCGAAATTTGGTATTATAGAATACTGCAGTATTCCTTCTATCATCGCTTGGAATATGATGCATGCCACTGTGGGAATACTTCTCTTCTCCATGACACATCACCTTCCAAATGAACAGAGAAGACGTACCACAGTATGAGCTCCCGAAGTCTGGACCGGCGAGAAGCGGTGTTAAGCGATATGCTAAGAGATAACCAGATCTTTTCCTTCGCATATTAATGACTACTCCTTCTGCCACATTTCCAACAGTTACACATAACGACTTGAACCAAATTCCCAAAATCTCGTTAAACGACTAAAGGAATGACGAATACCTCCCTCAGCCTCGATTCTCGAATCACATGACTTAAACGTATGAATCGATTTCAGTTACGAAACGAGTAGTACATACTCCATACCAGAAATGAGTACATACCTGTAACGTCCGTACACTGGTTCGCTATGCGTGCTTCTCCTGGCGGCGGAGTCGCAGTGCTTCAAAAATTTGTTATTACATCCAGCGGCGGCGAGACTTATTTCGGCCAGCAGAGAAGAATCCGCACTCGAACTGGCCTCCTGAAGCTCGATCTAAAAATCAATACCTGTTAAGAGATCAATTATACTCCAAACGAGATACTGCTACAAGGAACATGTTTTCTCTTTTACCGATCTTGATAATAAACGAAGTTGTGCATTTCATGGCTTCTCAAATC